TTTTTCTCAACCATGAGTTTTCGTTATCGACATATCTGGGAAATAATTTTTTTAATAGTAATTATATTTCTTGAAAAAAGTCTGGATTTTCTGCCATTCTGGAAGAAAGCTCCATAAAATAAAAAATACAGACATGAACGATTTATAGATGTATATGCTAACACTCAAGTTTTCTTGAATTTGTTATAATTAGATTATGTAAAATATTTTTGTTCTTTTTGTATTTTTGCTTCTGACGACGCGACGGGTGAAGGTATATCTACTGAAACGTTAAGCATTTTTTGTGATTTACAGACTATACTTCCAAGACCATACAGACTATCCTAGGAATAAACGCACCACGAAGGTATAGACATTATTTAAATTTAGTTATATATATTATTTTTTAAGTACTTTGTGTTTATTCCTGTAAGTAATTACTGTCCTTATTCATGCATAACTGATAACAGCTTGTATACAAAACTTATTGTTATTATTTGCTAATTATATACCAATACTTCTATTTTAGTAATAAGTACTAGTAATAATTGCCTTTAGCTGCTTTAATGTAAAATAGAATTAATTAAATTTTAATATTTCATTAAACATATATTAATAAGGACTATAAAATGTTTTGGCTATAATAGTACTGAAATATAATTAAAAAACCGTTTTATTATTAAGCTTTTTCAAGTTAATTTAAAAGCAATAAAATGTTAAATTGCATGCGTTGAGTGCTGATGTCGTAATTATCTTTACGAAAACCTGATTCGTCGTATACATTACGCATGAAAGCCATGCAGTCTGATCAGCTAAATTTAATAACCAGACAGATAATGGAAATTTTTAGTCCAGGTAAATACACTCACGAGCACGAAAAACGGTTAAATTAAAATGACTTATGTATTTTAAAGCTATTTTGTTCTAGTGGACCGATATTGATGATTATTTAAAAACTGTACACCCAAATTATATGTATAATCTTTTAGCCTCTCTTTAAATTAAAAATTGAATTCTTCATCTGTCTATTGTACGAAAAAGAAACAAAATATGTGTAAAACATCCTGTAAAATTGTTTAATATTAAGAAATTTAAAAACAACTTTATGATGAAGATATATCTTTTCTCGATAGTTTGTTTTTTGATTCAACTCTATAGCTTTAGTTTTATTTGTGATATTGGCTTTTGAAGAAGGCAGTAATGATTTACAGCAATTTAAGCAGAACAAATCTATGAAATAGTTCTTATTTTATGTAATGTCTTTACTATCATTGAAATTTCATATTATTATTAGTTAGTGGCATTTACTCTAGCAGTGATGGTATGAAGTTCAGACATCACATTGATCTCTACCAAGTGTAATTAAGCGATAAAAGCCCGCCCTTGTCTTGGTAACAACACAACCAAACTTATATGGAATCGCTCATTATTTCTGACTAAATTTTTTGCAAAGAAAAAACTTGGTATACAAGTTTAAGTTAACGCTTTTTGTTGTAAATAAATATGATAATAGAGAATAAACGATTGCTGCGATTTATTTTCTTGAAAATGTTGTGTACAGTAGTGAAATCACAATTGTCCGATCAATTCATTCATTCAGTCATTTTCATTCGATCCAAAAAATAAAAAATGCCTTATGTTGGATTATAGACAGGGGAATTATACAGATGTATAGAGGGGAAGAATTACTGCTCTAATTGCTTGCCATAGTTATTTTGGCAAAATAAAATTGACCGGCTAAATTGGTGCCTTCAACATCAAAACTGGGCTATTGAGAATTGGCAAAATGTTTTTGTTTCGAATGAGACCAGAATTATTGGCCTAAGATCAGATGACTATTGAATTCGGGTTCTTTGAGCTCCAGGAAGACGAGCAAGAAATCTGCTAAATCTCTAGCAGTGATGGTATGAAGTTCAGACATGACATTGTTCTCTACCATGTGTAATTAAGCGATAAAAGCCCGGTCTTTGGTACCAACACAACCAAACTTATATGGAATCGCTCATTATTTCTGACTAAATTTTTTGCAAAGAAAAAACTTGGTATACAAGTTTAAGATAACGCTTTTTGTTGTAAATAAATATGATAATAAAGAATAAACGACTGCTGCGATTTATTTTCTTGAGAATTTTGGGTTCAGTAGTGAAATCACAATTGTCCGGTCACTTTCATTCGATCCAAAAAAATGCCTTATGTTGGATTATAGAGAGGGGAATTATACAGATGTGCAGAGGGGAAGAATTATTGCTCTCATTGCTTGCCACAGTTCTTTTGGCAAAATAAAATTGACCGGCTAAATTGGTGCCTTCAACATCAAAACTTGGCTATTGAGAATTGGCAAAATGTTTTTATTTCGGATGAGATCAGAATTATTGGCTTAAGAGCAGATGACTATTGAATTCGGGTTCTTTGAGCTCCAGGAAGACGAGCAAGACTCCAGGCTGCCAAATCTCTAGCAGTGATGGTATGAAGTTCAGACATGACATTGATCTCTACCAAGTGTAATTAAGCGATAAAAGCCCGGTCTTTGGTAACAACACAACCAAACTTATATGGAATCGCTCATTATTTCTGACTAAATTTTTTGAAAAGAAAAAACTTGGTATACAAGTTTAAGATAGCGCTTTTTGTTGTAAATAAATATGATAATAAAGAATAAACGACTGCTGCGATTTATTTCCTTGAGAATTTTGTGTTCAGTAGTGAAATCACAATTGTCCCGTCATTTTCATTCGATCCAAAAAAATAAAAAATGCCTTATGTTGTATTATAGAGAGGGGAATTATACAGATGTATAGAGGGGAAGAATTATTGCTCTCATTGCTTGCCACAGTTATTTTGGCAAAATAAAATTGACCGGCTAAATTGGTGCCTTCAACATCAAAACTGGACTATTGAGAATTGGCAAAATGTTTTTATTTCGGATGAGATCAGAATTATTGGCCTAAGATCAGTTGACTATTAAATTCGGGTTCTCTGAGCTCCAGGAAGATGAGCAAGACTCCAAGCTGCCAAATCTGTACCAATATATCAAGGGGGAACTGCAATGTTCTGGGGAGGAGGTATTATGGGGGGAACAAAAACTCCATTGTTACCACTTCAACAAACTTTAACTGGTCGGAAGTATGTTGATTTAGTGCTAGATCCAATCGTTAGACTTTGGAGAGCTCTAATTAGGGATAACTTTAACTTCATGCACAATAATGCACCTCCCCATACCAGCAGAGTGGCTAGAGAATGTCTTGAAACGGAAGGGAGATCCAACCTATATCCAACACTTGTAGGACCAGCTCAAAAGAAGAGTTATAGCTCGTCGAAACAGTGAAGGAAATCTTGCACAGCTTATTGATGCAGCATTATCAGAACGAGATACCATATCCCCACGCAACGGTGATAGCTTAATAAGAAGCATTCCAGCGCGGATAGAAGGTTTCATAAGGGCTAGAGGTGGCAACACGGATTATTAAAATTTTCAATTTTTTTTTTTGGTTTTGCTTTTTGACGATTAAGAATTTATATCTCATTTCGTTTCAGAAGCCAAGAAAATACCATTGTGTTTATTTTGGGAACTGATCACTTTTTAATTGCTATATGGATTATTTTCCATTATAAGTCTTTGGTAAGGACTGAGTTTGATTGATAAACACAAAATGTTCATACGTTTCAAAAATTATAAAAAATAATAGATGATTACATATAAGTTTGGTTGTATTTATATCAATTATATTCGTGGCAGGGCCTTTAAACGTGTTTTTGTGACTGTGTTAAAAAATACTTTTAGACGGTTAGTTCAGTTCAGCTGTCGCTTATCGTATGTCTAATTACATAAAAATGACAGAAAAACTAAAATTGATAACGGAGCTGTGGCTCGATGGATTTGCTAAAATTTGTGTATCAGTTAGTTAAAATGATGTGTAAATAAACTTGTCCGTTTATGTGTCAGTTTTCGAAGTAGCTTGATCAAACGTATATCTTCCGCACTGCCAAAAACACGACTTTCTAAAAAAGTTTATTGAGCTTTATGAAAAATAGTCATGCCTGTGAAAAAAAAAAGAAAAATAAAAAAGAAAAGGTGTGATTAGATTTAGACTTGGTGCTGATATTACAATAGGGAATTTAAGACGTTGGTAAGAACTCCCAGTTGCAAAAAATCTTAGAGTTGCACTTCTCGCATTTTAGTAGGTATCTTGTTTTTAATAACTGAAGTCATTAAATACAGTAATTCTCTATAAGCATCCTCATTCATTCGTAAATAGTTTAAACAATCGAGAGATTCAAAGTGAAGTTCTTTCATTAAATTTACATGGGACAGTCATATTCTCTTTGAAAGCCAGTCTTTGCTCCATTTACTTCTTTTCTTTCTTGGTTTCTTCAGTGCTAAAGCCAGAACAAACGCAATTTGACATTCTTCATATATGATGACTGCTCTGTACATGACAATGAAAACTATAAAAATATTTATCCCAGCATGTCCAATTTTTAGACTTTTATAGGTTAAATCTATGAGACACTCTTTTCTACATACTGACTCTTTAGGGATACTTTTGGTATATGTTTACTTTTTTAATAGTTTAATTACCACCAAATACTTTTTATATAAGAAATACTTTTGTATTTAAATGGTTGTTAATATCGTATATTAGTTGGTTGTTATTAGTAGGTACGGGGGCACTTGACAGCAGACTTTTACTGATGTTGCTCTCTGCTTTGCTGCTTCATACCTTTTGACGTCTGTTTTACTATTTTTACTCTTTCATTTGCTGTTTTTGTTATCTGTTTTACTGTTTTGGTTCTCTATTTATAGAGGTATAAAAGCTGACAGTAAAAACAGCAAAGCAGACAGCAAAACCAGTAAAAGTCTGCTGTCTGCCTCAAGTGTTCCCATACCTACTACTGTTATTAATATCTCATTTTTACACCACTTCACCCTATGTGAATACTCAGAGCATAAAATATCATATATCGACTGGTCTAAAGTTTTCTTACTTGAAATTCTGCATGTTACTTTCGGTTTAACCTACCTTTTGTTCGATGCACAGCTCGTCTTGGAACCGAACCACGGCCGATGCATGGTGCCATTGTCGCCGCCGCCGTTTTGTTTCTTCGTCTGATTACTTTGCGACTCCATTCTGCAAGGAAAAATAAAGAACGAAGAATTATTTCAGGTCAAGGTTGGATTCGCGACTAGTGCAATTACGCCATTCCATTTAAATAATATGTGACTTTGAATTGGAATTTTGCGTAGTACGATAATCCAGTTAATTGTATGTAGTAAGCACCGAACAAGAGTGAGGTAGTTCAGTAAAATGTTTACATAGAAATCTTTTCATATTTTTTTGGAATATAAAAGATTGGAAAACATTCTAATTCGAACGAGTTTATTTTAATTTATTTGTATTATTAGACACAAATGAAATTAGTAGCACAGTTAGTGATTATTGCTTGTAAACAAAACAAAAATACGGTAAGAATCGGTTAGTACGGATAAATATTGATAAATCGGTAATTCGAATATTTTTATTAAATGCAATATTTTCAATAGGGCTTAATATTGTCCAAATTACAAATAAACTGTTAAAGTTAGGTTTGTTGTCAAGTCGTCAGATAGTTCAAGTTCTTATTTTGGGTTATACAAATGATGTTTAATGTCAAATGAGTGGTATACATTAAAGTTGGCGGGTTGGAACCTTTGGTGTTACAACAAAACACTTTACTTTCAAGTACTGGACGTGCGATTTTCTAACCATGTCAGCATCATCTGTTGACAGTTTTAATCATCTACTGATGATGTTATACCAGAAAAAACAACATTTTATCCCTATCCTTATTAATACCAAGTACGCACTTAGCATCAAGTTTGATGCAAAGTCTATACTTGGTATTTTTTTAGTTTAAGTTATAACAAATTAACAAAAAAACAGCGCGTTCTTATTGGTTTTACTTTTAAACATCAAAATATGGGGACCCAATCATCAAATTCTTTTTCGAAATCAGCATTTCAAAAGTTACAGTCAAAATATTGACTACAACTATTTAATATTTTTATTTCAAAATAAGTGTTAATACATCAGATCAAATACAGTAAAAATTCTCTAATTCGGACACGCCCCAAATCGTACTCCAGTAGTTCGGCGTCTCTTATCATCCGGCCAATTTTGATATTTTTACCTCTTTATTTCCGATGCCAACAAAATTGAAAGGCAAATGAATGAAAGTCTACATTTTTCTTAGATGGTGGACGATTAGATACAGTATCAGTATGTAGTCTTTTTTGCAGTACAGTAGTCAGGAGTATCATCTAACGCTAAAAAATAGAGCCAACTAAATGACTCTTGCTCAATAAATGCAAGATATTGGATTGTATTCACAAAGAAGGAAGAACCATACCATTTCTTGCTGTTCCGAAATTTAATATTTCAGATATAAAAAAATCAAAAATACCAAAAACAAAAAATAATATCTACCAAGAACAAATAAAAAACTAAACCATGTACAAAATAAAAAATTGAAAATGAACTTAAGGAAAAAAGAATAATTTGTCTCTGGTTTAACTGAAGGGTATAATAAGGAAAAGACAAATTGAAGAGAAAATACTAGGCATTGAAAATAAAGGAAACAAATAACGACATAAGTGAAACAAAGAATAACAATGTTTTGTTGAAAATTAAACTTAGCAATGCTGTAAAATCTTTATCAAAAAGTATTTACTGGATTGAAGAAAACGATGTTTCTACCCAAGATATGTTGTTTTTGAAAAAAGTAAAAGAGAAGGCTGTTGATGCGGCAAATTCGATAGGTTTGCAGTATGCAGCTGCAGATATGTTAAGTATGCAGATAAAAATCTATAATTTTTTTAAAAACCAATTAATTAAAACCAATCAATTCAATTCAAATTAAAGATTAACTTCACATTTGTGTACATTTTTATGTTAATATTTAATGCGTATTAAGGCGTGTAGAAGTATGGATATTGTAGTAAGTAGTATCTTAAAGGTGCTTAGTTCTCTTAAAGGTGCATATATAGAATCGTAGTAAATCGTAGGTACAATAAGCACAATTTAAAAGAACAAAAAGAATTTTAACATGTTTCATAAAGCGTTTTGCGTTTTGGTTTAAATAAAAATGTGTTTAAGTTTTGAGTTTAGGTTGGAAACGATAAAGGAATGAAAAAATAACAATTATAAAAATATTCCTCCAGTAACCCGGATACTTAATTAATTCGGCAGTAGCTGTTCCGATATGAGTCCGCAGTCCGAACTATCGAAGTTCTACTATATCATCAAATATTTTTGTATAAACAACTTGTATAACTTAATATACAAGGGGTATCAATAAACGACTGATCAAAGTATTGGAAATATTGACAAAAATAGAAATTAGTGTTAATTCAGTGAAAAAAATCACTAATAGAAAAAATATGTAAAACTTAACAACTCCATGTTCCAAATAACAATTTCTAAAACACTTCCATATAATAGTTCTTTCAAATATGACAGGTGAACCATATTACTCAATTATGATGGTATATAAGTATATATTTCTTAGACAAGAAAATTACAAAAAACCATGACAAATATCTACAACAAATCATGCCAAATACTCCATTTCGAAAATTGTTATACGAAAAAACCTTCTTATTATAAAATAAAACATGGTAATTATAAAGGTATTTTAATTAATGTAGGTACTTACTATTGAAAATAAAGATATAAAAAATATACAATAGAAAGAATTCCACTTGTTTAATAAGACACACCGCTTTGCTAGAACTCGTCTACCTTGATATGTATATTGCTTTTCAACCAAGTGAAAAAAATAGATTATAGACATACTATTATATAATATAAATTGTTTTTATATAGCAATAGTTTATTGGAATATTACAAGTCCGTTGGAGAGTTTAATACAGGATGAATCGCCATATAATTTCTTTTTTAATATATTTTATAATAGTGAAGATTTAATGGACTGTGAAATAGGATTTTAAAAGAATCAACTAAATATATTTAACCTTAACCTCATAAAGTAAAATTAATCACTGGTGATATTTACTTGATTTTAAAAAATTGTTTTCATTTCGCTTGAATGAAACGATTTTTACAGGGTATGTATTGTTATCTAATCTATAATGTAAGAACTAATTTCATACATGAGAAAAACATTCATGTACTTCATAATAGTATCAAATAAATGCTAAACACTTTTCTAAAATATTTTTGATATTAGATACATATTTTCAACTCTAAATTTTTATTAATTTTTAGCTTTTGGAATTGTAGGTGCAGAAATAATAGTTCTAATGACTAGACTTATCAAGGATACTTCGGCCATAGAAGGGAACAGAAAACTAAATACTGGGTATAGAATGTGCTATTCTAAATCGAGAAAAGCAACTAAATATTTCACCTTGATTAGAAACATTTACGATACTTTAGCTATCAAATTGAAATAGTAAGGTTCCCAACAAAATTAGCAGCATTATGGTCAATACACCCAACAAAATTTATCCAAACTAGATTTTAGACAAGGCGATTAAAGATTAAAAAAATAATATTCTAAGAAATTATTAATTAACTTTTAACGAGATTAATTTAATTAGTATTTTTAATGTTATTAAATAAAGGTTCATTACCGTTTCAGAGAAAATTAAAAAAACTCCTAAAAAGTCCTAAAAATCAAAACTCGTTTCTATGGTAATATAATTCCGCTTTTATTCTTAGATAGATTGTTATTGTTAGAATTTTTATTCTTATATTTACGTGCCGTCTCTTTCGTGGAGGTTGGCGATCACATTGGTAAAATCTTCACTATTCTCGGCTTTCCTTATGAGTTCTTTAAAAGTTAGGTGAGTCCAGTTTCCGATGTTTCTAAACCAAGACAGTTTCTTCCTGCCGAGACCTCTCTTTCCTTCAATCTTACCCTTAACTATCAATTGTAAGATGTGGCATTTTTCATTTCTCAATATATGCCCTAAGTATGATGTTTTTCTTATTTTTATTATATGGAGCAATTTTCTTCCTCTGCCTATTCTGTTGTAGACTTCGGTATTTGTGATATGGGCTGTCCATGGAATTTTAAGCATTCTTCGATATATCCATGTTTCTAACGATTCGAAGCGATTCATCTTTTGAACTTTCAGTGTCCATGTTTCTGCTCCGTTTAAAGGTACGCGCACACTGACCAGAGCCGCACGCGCCGCATCGATCGAAAAAAATATTGTTTGTGTTACTATCAATGAAGGTGCGCACACTAGCCAGAGCCGCACGAATCGCATCGACGAAAATGGGGCCAGCATTGTTGGGCCAGAATGATTTTCGATAAATGCGGCTAGTGCTGCTGACGTCACACGCAATTCATTCCACTCTATGTAGGTAGCCGAAGAGGAGATTAGAAATTCAATATGCTAAGAACGTTCGCAAATTTTTTACGGCTCATATTGAAAAAAATTTAGTTCATCCTCAATTAAATATGGAAATAATGTGGATTTTTGCAAATATTATACGGCGAAAGTTATAGGTTCACAATCTATAACTTTCGATTCTTTCTCGTGATTTCTTCTTCTTCTATTAGCAAGGAGCTTATAATTATTTCTTGTTCGTTGCCATTCATTGTGGGGAAATATTAAAAACACGCATATCACCACAGACCGGACTCAAACCGCAGAAGCGACTGATGAGAAATTCGATTGACAAATACGGGTGTAGTAGGGGCAAAAAGAAACAAAATAGCGAGTAAAGGAGGGCGCGCACTGCATCGGATCGGACCGACCAGCAAAAGTGACTGCGACCATCGTACATATAGACGGCGCCGGCGTCCACTAAAACATTTCGGCCTGTAGAGGCCAGATTCCTACCTCTACCTATCTACGATAGTCGAGTCACCGCCTTCGCCGTTTCTCGCCGGACCTTAAAGCTCCGCGCGCGTACACCTTAAAGCTCCGCGCGCACTGAATAGGTATCGGCGAGAGCGAGCGACACGTAATTTTCAGTTTACGTTGAAATAAATGTAAGGCTCCGCGCGCACTGCATTGGATCGGACCGACCAGCAAAAGCGACTGCGACCATCGTACATATAGATGGCGCCGGCGTCCACTAAAACATTTCGGCCTGTAGAGGCCAGATTCCTACCT